CCTACTACACACCTACTACCCTGCTACTACACCCCTGCTACCCCGCTGCTACACCCCTACTACTCGCTGCTACACACCTACTACACCCTCTACTACCCCGCTGCTACACCCCTACTACCCCCTACTGCTACACCCCCTACTACACACCTACTACCCCGCTGTTACACCCCCCTACTACACACCTACTACCCCGCTACTACCCCCGCTACTACCCCGCTGCTACCCCCTACTACACACCTACTACCCTGCTACTACACACCTACTACCCCGCTAGCTTGCTACACCCCTACTACCCCGCTGCTACACCCCTACTACACACCTACTACTTACACACTACTACTACACCCCTACTACTACACCCTACTACCCTGCTGCTACACCCCTACTACACACCTACTACCCCGCTACTACACCCCTACACACCTACCCCGCTACTATACCCCTACTACTACACCCCTACTACCCTGCTGCTACCCTGCTACTACACCCTCTACTACACCCCTACTACTACACTACCCCTACTACACCCCTTACTACTACACCCCTACTACCACCCCGCTGCTACACCCTACTACTACCCTGCTGCTACTCGTGCTACTACACCCCCCTACTACCCCCTACTACACCCCTACTACCCTGCTACTACACCCCTACTACCCCGCTACTACACCCCTACTACCCTGCTACTACACCCCTACTACTACTCCTCTGCTACACCCCTACTACTACACCCTGCTACTACACACCTACTACCCCCCTACTACTCCTCTGCTACACTGCTACTACACTACTACCACGCTACTACACTACTACCACGCTACTACACTGCTACTACACTACTACTACCCCCCGCTACTACACCCCTGCTACTACACCCCTACTACCCCACTACTACTACCACGCTATTACACCCCTACTACCCCCACTACTCCACCCCCGCTACTACACCCCTACTACCCTCTACTACACCCCTGCTACGCCACTACACCCCTGCTACCCCACGACTACACCCCCTACAACTCCGCTACTACACCCCCACTACTACACACCTACTACACCCCTGCTACCCCGCTACTACTACCCCCCCCGCTACTACACACCTACTACACCCCTGCTACTACACACCTACTACCTTCTACTACACAGCTACTACACCCCCGCTACTACACACCTACTACACCCCAGCTACCCCGCTACTACACACCTACTACATCCCTGCTACCCCCCGCTACTACACCCCTGCTACTACACACCTACTACACCCCTGCTACCCCACTACTACAACCCCTGCTACTACACAGCTACTACCTTCTACTACACACCTACTACACCCTTGCTACACCGCTACTACACCCCCGCTACTACACACCACCTACACCCCTGCTACCCCGCTACTACACACACTACTACTACACCCCTGCTACCTACCCCGCTACCCCCCCGCTACTACACACCTACTACACCCCTGCTACCCCGCTACTACACCCCCACTACTACACGCCTACTACCCTCTACTACACCCCCGCTACTCTGCCACTACACCCCTGCTACCACGCGACGACTATAACCCCTACAACTCCGCTACTACACCCCTGCTACCCCGCTACTGCACACCTACTACACCCCTACTACCCTCTACTACACCCCTGCTACCCCGCTACTACTCTCTACTACACCCCTACTACCCCGCTACTACACCCCTACTACCCCGCTACTACACTGCTACTACCCTCTACTACCCCACTGCTACACCCCTAGAACCTCGCTACTACACACACTGTTATACCCCTACTCCACTGTAACTACACCCCCACTACACTGCTACTACATCCCTACTACTACCTCGCTACTGTGACGTCATATGCTCTACCTCGTCCAATCAGACAATGCTTTGCATTCATTCATAAAATGCAATTCCTAGAATTCTCTGACTGGCACCCGTGCTAAGCAGCCGACCTCCTGTGATCACAAAGCCACAGAGCAGCTGCATGGGAGGTGACTGTAGTAGTGGTGTGTAGTACAGTGGGTGGTGTGCCATGGGGGTCTGGTTGCAGTTTTCAGGTTCCTCCGGCACTCGTCTGGGTTTCCTCCCACAATCCTATCCATTTGCCTTTCATTCTGGGGACTTCTCTGGGAAAGCTGCGGCCGGGATGAGGTTGTGACGGGTGATTGGTGTAGAAAGTCCCGTCCTCCATGTTATTCCTCCATTGTGCGGAGGCCGGTGAGTGCGCGGCGGGCTCTCCAGTCTGGTACAGAAGACTCCCATATTTCTGGTGGGTTTCTCATTCATTCTCCACCATTCTCTATGACTGACTGGAGACCCTCTGCCATGTGAGACGCCGGAGGCGAGGGCATTCCTCGGGAACAATGGCCGGGGCTCCAGTTGCATTGTATGTGATCCCCGGATCGGGTTACTGTCACGGCAGATCCGCTCCCTGCTGGAGCTCTATGGGGAGGACGAGGAGCCGGCCACACACACTTCTATTAATGAGATGGAGATGGAGACAATCGGTCCATTTCATTCAAGGACATCTTATCTCTATCATTTCAAGAGTTGTCTCCAGCTACAGCTGTCATTTAATATCAGTGATCCCGCCATGATGGTCCTTGTTCAGGCCCTTCCTGTTATAGGGTGACAACACTCTGTCCCAGTCTCCTGATTGTACTCCTGCATTGTCACCCTAATGTCTCCCACCATGATGGTCCTTGTCCAGGCCCTTCCTGTTATAGGGTGACAACACTCTGTCCCTGTCTCCTGATTGTGCTCCTGCATTGTCACCCTGGTGGTGTCCCACCATGATGGTCTCCACTTCCTGTCCATGGTTACAACACTCTGGCCATTCTCCAATTATACTTCCTCACGCTGTCCAGGCCCTTCCTGTTGCAAGGGTGACAACACTCTGTCCCTGTCTCCTGATTGTGCTCCTGCATTGTCACTCTGGTGCTCCCACCATGATGGTCCTTGTTCAGGCCCTTCCTGTTATAGGGTGACAACACTCTGTCCCAGTCTCCTGATTGTGCTCCTGCATTGTCACCCTAATGCTCCCACCATGATGGTCCTTGTTCAGGCCCTTCCTGTTATAGGGTGACAACACTCTGTCCCTGTCTCCTGATTGTGCTCCTGCATTGTCACTCTGGTGCTCCCACCATGATGGTCCTTGTTCAGGCCCTTCCTGTTGCAAGGGTGACAACAGTCTGTCCCTGTCTCCTGATTGTGCTCCTGCATTGTCATGCTGGTGCTCCCACCATGATGGTCCTTGTTCAGGCACTTCCTGGCACAAGGTGACAACACTCCGTCCATGTCTCCAATTATACTCTTGCGTTGTCACGCTCTCACACAGGACACATCATTCTGGCCTAGACTGGCATGGTGGGGGGGGGTCAAACAAAAAATCTGCAATTCTGCTTGGGGGAGGGGCTGCGGGGGTATTAAAACTGAAAAAAACGCATTTTTTGCCGTTCGGTTCTGCGATGGGAACGTCTCGGTGACACTCGGATCTCAGTGGGTCACCCAAATTTAAATGCATTCAGCGTTTGATCCCCCGGGACGGCTCGCTCACGTCTGCTGTGACTCTGCTGGATAAATCCTTTGGGGGGGATATTGTAGATGATTCATTTTAAAGCTTTTGTAAGGGGCTCATTGGGTGCCGGCGGCCCCATGACCTTTCCAGTACCGGCCCCGTAGGGCCCCCAGATGTGCAGATACAGCCGTGTCCCCTCCTCCGCAGTGAAGGGGCTCATTGGGTGCCGGCGACCCCCTGACCTTTCCAGTACCGGCCCCGTAGGGCCCCCAGATGTGCAGATACAGCCGTGTCCCCTCCTCCGCAGTGAAGGGGCTCATTGGGTGCCGGCGACCCCCTGACCTTTCCAGTACCGGCCCCGTAGGGCCCCCAGATGTGCAGATACAGCCGTGTCCCCTCCTCCGCAGTGAAGGGGCTCATTGGGTGCCGGCGACCCCGTGACCTTTCCAGTACCGGCCCCGTAGGGCCCCCAGATGTGCAGATACAGCCGTGTCCCCTCCTCCGCAGTGAAGGGGCTCATTGGGTGCCGGCGACCCCGTGACCTTTCCAGTACCGGCCCCGTAGGGCCCCCAGATGTGCAGATACAGCCGTGTCCCCTCCTCCGCAGTGAAGGGGCTCATTGGGTGCCGGCGACCCCGTGACCTTTCCAGTACCGGCCCCGTAGGGCCCCCAGATGTGCAGATACAGCCGTGTCCCCTCCTCCGCAGTGAAGGGGCTCATTGGGTGCCGGCGACCCCGTGACCTTTCCAGTACCGGCCCCGTAGGGCCCCCAGATGTGCAGATACAGCCGTGTCCCCTCCTCCGCAGTGAAGGGGCTCATTGGGTGCCGGCGACCCCGTGACCTTTCCAGTACCGGCCCCGTAGGGCCCCCAGATGTGCAGATACAGCCGTGTCCCCTCCTCCGCAGTGAAGGGGCTCATTGGGTGCCGGCGACCCCGTGACCTTTCCAGTACCGGCCCCGTAGGGCCCCCAGATGTGCAGATACAGCCGTGTCCCCTCCTCCGCAGTGAAGGGGCTCATTCTCCTCCAGGACGCCCTGAGCTGACCGATCATAAATTACCTTGAAAACTGTCCTCCGGAGTCGTATGGCTGACCCCGGCGCCCCCCCCCCCCAGCCACAGCGGCATGCAGCAGTCAGCGGCCCATCCACTTCATTGAGCTGATGGAAAACAAAACCTCGATTGTCTGAGAACTCCCAGCCGGCTTCATTAATTGGGTTGTATATTCTTCTATGAGGGTGAAGGTTGGGGGGGGGGATGGGGGGGCGCTCAATGGGGGCGATTGTCCAATACGTGACCAGTCCGGGACAATGGCCGACTCTTCGCGGCTCCTCGTCTGGCAGACAGTTTGTAAACACTCAGACATCGCCGCGCAGCTCATCTGTTTACTGCGCATTCGCGGGGGTTCGCTGCTCAGCGCTGTATCCAAGATGGAGGATTGCCACCCCCCCCCCAACCATTTCCAATATTCATTTTTTAGTTATTTTGTTTAACCCTCCCGGCTCCTCCCCTTCAGTCTTGCACAGGTGTGCAGGCTCCTCCCCTCCAGTCTTTCACAGTTGTACCGCCTCCTCCCCTTCCAGTCTGGCACAGGTGTACCGGCTCCTCCCCTTCAGTCTTGTACAGGTGTACTGGCTCCTCCCCTCCAGTCTTTCACAGTTGTACCGCCTCCTCCCCTTTCCAGTCTTTCACAGTTGTACCGCCTCCTCCCCTTCCAGTCTTTCACAGGTGTACCGCCTCCTCCCCTTCAAGTCTGGCACAGGTGCGCCGGCTCCTCCCCTCCAGTCTGGCACAGGTGCGCCGGCTCCTCCCCTCCAGTCTGGCACAGGTGCGCCGGCTCCTCCCCTCCAGTCTGGCACAGGTGCGCCGGCTCCTCCCCCTCCAGTCTGGCACAGGTGCGCCGGCTCCTCCCCTCCAGTCTGGCACAGGTGCACCGGCTCCTCCCCTCCAGTCTTGCACAGGTGTCCTGACTCCTCCCCTTCAGTCTTGCAGAGGTGTGCCGGCTCCTCCTCCTGGAATGAAACGTCTTCCTCTGATGTCACTGCACACTGGAAGTTTCTCACAATGTGCATTAGAAGCTGCAGCCAATCAGAGCTCCGCCCCATTTCCTGGCTGGAGGACGTCCAGCATCATCTAGGGCTTTACTCCCCAGCTTGACTGTCCCTGGTCCCGCCTCTTTCATTAATTGGATTTCAGTTCTTTCAGTCATGGAGGCTCAGCGTCACATGTGGGCGTTACCTATGCAAATACAGCCTGCCTAGGAACGCCCACTCCTCCAGACTAGCACCCGCCCATGAAAGCGGTTTGATATTTGAATAACTCCCCCCAAGTGCCCACCCACTGCTTGCATCAGGACTGGGGGGTCTTGAGAGGTGTATTGAGGCAGGGTGCTGTGATGTTTTCAGGAGGCTATGTAGTGGCCCCTCCCACCAGCCATGATCTGTCTGCATTGCATAGAGAAGCGCAGAGACCCAGTGACAACATCTTGGAATAGGCGTGGGCCAGCAGAATGCAGGGAGTCCAGACAGCGAATTCCATCAGTAATGTGTAGAAGGATTATCTGTGAGAGTTTAGGAAGAATTTCGTCTTCTATCATGGAACGATGCCAGGAAATGATTGTCAGTCCCCAGTGCAGGCGCCTGCGGCTCCCAGCCTGCATCTCCTGGCGTGGTGCATGTTCTTCCCTATTCTCCCCTCCGGCAGGGAGGATTCCTATTGGTGGGAGGTTTCTATTTCTCGGGTGTTTGGAGTTCGGCCTTGGCTGTCCTTCGTCTCGCAGAGGAAATCGTTCGATGATGAGTAAGAAATATTAATGAGCGATTCTCCGGGTACCCGACCCCTCCGCCCAACCAGGTCTGATGTACGCTAGCCACCGGCTGGAAGGGCCAGCAGCCATCACCGGCAGAGGATGAGCCGGATCCGATCCGACGGGACGATTGGGACGGAATCCTATGGAAAATGGGACATTCATCATTCGTGCGACTCTTGCATCTCCATGAAAAGTGCAAACTTTTTGGGTTTTTTTTTTTCTTTTGTGGAAGGAGGGGGGGGGGGGGTAATCTTACACTGCGCAGTGGTGATCCGGCAGTCCCGGTCCAGGAGAGCTGCAGAGGCAGGAGGGGGGGAGAGAGAACACAGCCTGTCCCTCCTCCCGGCTCTCTCCTCCAGAGCTAAGCTGACAGGAGTAGTGATGGGGCCGTCATTACTCCTGTCAGCTTGTAGGTAGGAACTCTCCAGGTGCATGTGGCCACGGGAAGGATGGCAGGTTTTTTATATCGGCTGCAGGGGGGGTACATGTGGCCACGGGAAGGATGGCAGGTTTTTATATCAGCTGCAGGGAGGTGCATGTGGCCACGGGAAGGATGGCAGGTTTTTATATCGGCTGCAGGGAGGTGCATGTGGCCACGGGAAGGATGGCAGGTTTTTATATCGGCTGCAGGGGGGGGCACATGGGGTCGTTGGCTGTATTTGGTGATTTCTGCAGTTCGTGTTAAAATTTTAATCTGCCTTCCCACACCGGCTCCGAATTCTTCTTCTGAACATTTGAGCCGCATTTTAATAACGAATGGCGCTGCGTGACAGCGAGCCGTTCAGCGACTGGATACAATGAGCTGCTGAAATATTAAGTGAATGGAGTCATTTTCTGGATGTGGTGACAGAATATACATATTTCATGTTCTGGTCACACGTGCTGAGTAATGTGTCCGCCTAACACACGGATTCATTACATGCACCAAGACCACTCCCTCCCCTACTGACACCAATGATGGGGCGCTATTCCTCCCACTGACACCAATGATGGGGCGCTATTCCTCCCACTGACACCAATGATGGGACGCTATTCCTCCCACTGACACCAATGATGGGACGCTATTCCTCCCACTGACACCAATGATGGGGCGCTATTCCTCCCACTGACACCAATGATGGGGCGCTATTCCTCCCACTGACACCAATGATGGGGCGCTATTCCTCCCACTGACACCAATGATGGGGCGCTATTCCTCTCCCACTGACTCCAATGATGGGGCGCTATTCCTCCCACTGACACCAATGACGGGGCGCTATTCCTCCACTGACACCAAGGATGGGACGCTATACCTTCCACTGACTCCAATGATGGGGCGCTATTCCTCCCACTGACACCAACGACGGGGCGCTATTCCTCCCACTGACACCAATGACGGGGCGCTATTCCTCCCACTGACACCAACGACGGGGCGCTATTCCTCCCACTGACACCAACGACGGGGCGCTATTCCTCCCACTGACACCAACGACGGGGCGCTATTCCTCCACTGACACCAACGACGGGACGCTACACTGACACCGACGACGGGACGCTATTCCTCCCACTGACACCGACGACGGGGCGCTATTCCTCCCACTGACACCGACGACGGGGCGCTATTCCTCCCACTGACACCGACGACGGGGCGCTATTCCTCCCACTGACACCGACGACGGGGCGCTATTCCTCCCACTGACACCGACGACGGGGCGCTATTCCTCCCACTGACACCGACGACGGGGCGCTATTCCTCCCACTGACACCGACGACGGGGCGCTATTCCTCCCACTGACACCGACGACGGGGCGCTATTCCTCCCACTGACACCGACGACGGGGCGCTATTCCTCCCACTGACACCGACGACGGGGCGCTATTCCTCCCACTGACACCGACGACGGGGCGCTATTCCTCCCACTGACACCGACGACGGGGCGCTATTCCTCCCACTGACACCGACGACGGGGCGCTATTCCTCCCACTGACACCGACGACGGGGCGCTATTCCTCCCACTGACACCGACGACGACGGGGCGCTATTCCTCCTCCCCACTGACACACCGACGACGGGGCGCTATTCCTCCCACTGACACCGACGATGGGGCGCTATTCCTCCCACTGACACCAATGATGGGGCACTATTCCTCCCACTGACACCAATGATGGGGCACTATTCCTTCCTTGTGACACCAATGTTGGGGTCATTATTACTCCTGAGAATTTTTCTACACACGCTGACCACAGCCTGACCCCCTCCCAGTCTGAAGGACAGTAAAGTGGCCCTTTGTATAGAAGGATTGGAGACCCCCATCTTCGAGGATCTGTGATCCCCAGTGGCGCTGTATATGGTGGGGCATTGATGAGGACAAATGTCAGTCACTTTGGATGAAGCCCCCTTGGCCTAAAACCCCAAATCCAGGCAAAGCTTCCTTTCCGGCTGGATCCTATATGGGGGTGTATTCCTGTGTGTGACCCCCTCGGGCAGACCTCCACCTCTGCGGGATCCCCCTTGTAGAGGGTTTTTGTGGCTCTCTAAGCAGATGACTCCCCTTCCCATCTGGTCCCCAACCCATGAAATGACGGGAAGCCGGGCCCATGGCGGCAGAGCCGGGCACATGGAGGCAGAGCCGGGCACATGGAGGCAGAGCCGGGCACATGGCGGCAGAGCCGGGCACATGGAGGCAGAGCCGGGCACATGGCGGCAGAGCCGCGCCCATGGCGGCAGAGCCGGGCCCAGGGAGGCAGAGCCGGGCACATGGAGGCAGAGCCGCACCCATGGCGGCAGAGCCGCGCCCAGGGAGGCAGAGCCGGGCACATGGAGGCAGAGCCGGGCCCAGGGAGGCAGAGCCGGGCACATGGAGGCAGAGCCGGGCACAGGGCGGCAGAGCCAGGCCCAGGGAGGCAGAGCCGGACCCATGGAGGCAGAGCCGGGCACATGGCGGCAGAGCTGGGCCCAAGGCGGCAGAGTCGAGCACAGGGCGGCAGAGCCGGGCCCATGGCGGCAGAGCCGGGCACATGGAGGCAGAGCCGGGCACATGGAGGCAGAGCCGGGCCCATGGCGGCAGAGCGGCTCCGGCTTCTACAGATTCATGCATTCCTTGATGAGCCGGTGACGAGGAAATGTTTATGACGGATGAATGACAGACGCGGCATCGTGAATTTGTTCCCACATCATTAACCTGTCTTCACCAATAGACGGATCCTCCTCTACCAGAGACAGCTCCCAGATTGTGCCCCCCCCCCCCCCCCCCCAGGACACGACCCAGCCAGAGAGGCGAGTTAGGGCTCTAAGGCTCATCGATGGAGTTGGGGGAGAGGAGGCTCATTGATGGAGGTGTGGGGGGGGAGAAGGCTCATTGATGGAGGCGGGGGGCCTCATTGATGGAGGTGTGGGGGGGGAGAAGCCTCATTGATGGAGGTGTGGGGGGGGGGAGAAGGCTCATTGATGGAGGCGGGGGCTCATTGATGGAGGCAGGGGGGGGGAAGGCTCATTGATGGAGGCGGGGGGCCTCATTGATGGAGGTGTGGGGGGGGGGAGAAGGCTCATTGATGGAGGGGGGGGGGGGCCTCATTGATGGAGGTGTGGGGGGGGAAGGCTCATTGATGGAGGTGTGGGGGGGGGGGAGAAAGCTCATTGATGGAGGTGTGGGAGGGAAAAAGGCTCATTGATGGAGGCGGGGGGGGCCTCATTGATGGAAGTGTGTGGGGGGGGGGGAGAAGGCTCATTGATGGAGGCGGGCTCATTGATGGAGGAGGCAGGGGGGGGAGAAGGCTCATTGATGGAGGCAGGGGGCCTCATTGATGGAAGTGTGGGGGGGGGGGGGGAGAAGGCTCATTGATGGAGGCGGGCTCATTGATGGAGGCAGGGGGGGAGAAGGCTCATTGATGGAGGCGGGGGGGGGGGAGGCTCATTGATGGAGGTGTAAGGGGGGAGAAGGCTTATTGATTGATGGGTGTGGGGGGGGGGGGGAGAAGCTCATTGATGGAGGTGGGGGGAAGGGCTCATTGATGGTGTGGGGGGGAAGGCTTATTGATGGAGGTGTGGGGGGGGAGGCTCATTGATGGAGGTGTGGGGGGGGGGAGAGAAGGCTCATTGATGGAGGTGAGGGGGAGGCTCATTGATGGTATGGAGGTGTGGGGGGGAGGAAGGCTCATTGATGGAGATGAGGCTCATTGATGGAGGTGTGGGGGGAATAAGGCTCATTGATGGGATGGAAGTGGGGGGGGGGGGGAAGAAGGCTTATTGATGGAAGCAGGGAGAAGGCTCATTGATGGGGGGG